AGTTCAGGCCCCACGACTGGACCCCTCCCCAAAAAAAGACACTTGCAACCCGTGGGGGGGAGGAGGGGGAAGTGGCTCACACCTGTAATCCCAGCTACTCAGAAGACTGAGATCTGAGGGCGCTGTGGCTCAAGTGGTAGAGCACCAGCCTCCAGGGACAAGGAACAAGGACAAGTGAGTGCATGAAGCCTTGAGCTTAAACCCCACAAAGTCGTCAGCAATGTGAATGAGAAGCCGAGGACATCAAGTTAGGCCTCACAAAAACTTGGAGATCTAGCCAGCAACTCCAAGTCGTATCGACAATCATTTCTCTGAACCTTTTTCTCAGCTGTCAGTCGAGTGGCACTAGCCCTTCCTCACTTCCACTTCTGAAGAACACTGCCCACCGAGGGTCTGTGGGAGGGGGAACAAGCACTTGGGAAGATTTAAACACACACACACACGGAAGGTGAGGAAATGTTTCCGATCTGAACCGCTGGTCTAGATCCAATCACCCCACGTACAACCAAAATCTGCCCAGGCCTCAGGGAGGCAACATTCTGGAGCTCATCATCTCACCTGCACAAATCACTGGTACCAAAGTCGTCCGGCACCGGAACTCAGCCTAACTACAAACCGCGCCGGTACAAACTGCACGCCGGAAATAAGCGGACTTCCGCTCTGGCGCAGTAGAAAGAGGCGACTCGAGCGCGTTGGTTCTTGGGATTTGTAGTCACGCCGGAGCTGCCGCGCGAGGGCGGGGAGGGTGGGAGGGTGGGTGGACAGGCATCGCCGCTTAGCCTTCTGGGAGTTGTAGTTTAGGCATTGTGCGCGTGACTCCGGCGGTGGACGCGGTGCCGACGTCACGGTGACGCACGCGGGTGAGGGGAGGGTGGAGGCGTGACGGACACGCCCATCCCGCCAGCGCGTAGGATGCTGGGCCTCGCTCCGTCCACCTGCTGTCCAGGAAAGCGAAGGGCGGTCAGAGCGTGATGGAGGGGCGAGGTCTTACCATGTCCAGCTTATGTGGAACGCAAGCCAGGAAGTGGGGAAAGGAGCAAAACTGCCTTTGGGCAGAAGAAAACCTAGAGGTATTGAAAGTGCAGGAAAAGAGTTCTGTACACGGTGCTGGGCACATGGAAGGCACCAATAAACTTTTTCCTATAGTAAAGGAAAATAAAAGTCCAATTATTTCTTCCAGTTACTGATAACTCAGTCATTACTCACCAACCTTTCTCCCACTGAGTCCAGATTTTTTAATATATTATTATTTGTTGTTTTTTATGTGATACTGAGGAATCGAACCCAGGGCCTCATGCATGGTAGGGAAGCATTCTACCACTAACCCACATTCTAGCCCAAGTTGAGGTTTTTACAAGGAACTCTTTCTCTCCCTCGTTCCCTGACATCTCCCCATAAATCTCTGACATTTTATACAGTGTCAGTCATTTGTCTCAACAGGTTCGACCATGTCTATAATCATTTCATGAACTTAGATTTATATTGTTTGCTTAGTGTGACTGGACCAACCACAGGTTTCATTTCTCTTGAGTCATTTCTTGTCTGTAAGTTGGTGATAAGAATGGTACATGGCCTCTTAAAATTGTTTTGAAAATGGCTGGAATGATGTACATAAATCACTAAATACTATACCCATGGTTAGAGAAAATATCTGATGTCAGCAAGTTTAATATAGGCGAGAGGGAGGCTATTACAATATCATTCATTTAGGCATAACTTTTAAGGTTTTTCAGATATCTTGTTTCACTGCACCCTGGGAAATCAGCGTTATTATCTCCAATTTCATTTAGGAAGAAAATTGGGTTAGGGAGTCGTGAGTCCAGTTATGACAACAGTTATATAGGATTAGATGCTAGATACTGTTTTATGGGGTTTACATCTGTAAAGTCATTTAATCCCTACAAGAATCCTGTTCAGTAGTTACTATAATTTTAATTTTTTTATGTTGGTACTAGGGCAGTATTCCTTAGCTTTTTCTGCTCAAGATTAGCGCTCTACCACTTGAACCACAGCTCTACTTTAGGCTTTTTGCTGATTAATTGGAGGTAAGTGTTAGGTTTTTAAAAAGAGCTGGCCAAGTAAGAACAGCACCATGCACGTGGTATTCAGATAAGGGGTAGGTTTATTCGTCATTCGGGCTGGTACCAGGCCATGTTGGCCCTCCACGCAGCTGGGAAAGACCTGGAAAAGACCAGGGAAAGAGAGCATCTGGGCCTGGGCTAGGCCTTATCTAGGATAGGGGCGGGGAAAGGTGTGTCCAGGTAAAGGGAATTGGGACCAGGTAAGAGGAGGTGGGACCAGGTGGGAGAAAGGTGTGGCCACATCAGATCCAGATGTGACCTCATCAGATGCAGATATGACCTCTTCCAGGTGTCCCAGTGGCCTGGGTAACGCAGGTACTGGGCGGGGTCTGCTCGCCATCCAGGAATGGACCTTACAGTAAGTTTCACAGACTCTTCTGTTCAGGCTGGCTTCAATGACAATCCTCAGATCTCAACCTCCTGAGGAGGTAGGATTACAGGTGTGAGCCACTGGTCTCAGACTTAGTATTTCATTCAGTCACTGTTCATGCATTTGTGGGGTTTTGTTTTTGTTTTTGTTTTGTTTTGTTGGTCATGGGGATTGAACTCTAGACCTGGGCGCTGTCCCTGAGCTCTTCAGCTCAAGGCTAGCACTCTACCACTAGAGTCACAGCACCACTTCCGGCTTTTTGTGCTTATGTGGTGCTGAGGAATTGAACCCAGGGCCTCATGCATGTAGGGCAAGCACTCTATCACTGAGCCACCTTCCCAGCCCCAGCATGCATTTTTTAAAATTAATTATTGGCTCTCTGCTCTTACCATGCTTCAAACTTCCACTTCCATACTTCCCTTTGCAAATTTCCTTCTTGAGTTCATCCTTCCCAGTTTCCATATACCCTATTTCCTAGGTCTGCTGTTTTTCTTCACCTCCACCATGTTTCCTTTGAAGCAATTTCTCCCAATGACCAGAAAATCATTTTTATTTAGATATATCTGTGCTTACCTATGCTTTCTCCTCACCTTCACCGAGTACTTTCTTTCACAGAGTACTCCTGACACCTTTACCCCACCTCCAAAGAACTCTGTTTTCATATGTGCTCAGTCTCCCCGCCAGCTGAAACTTGACTGTTTCAAACTTTAAATCACTGTCCTAAAAGCTAATTTATCTTCTTTTTTTTTTCCCCTTAACAGTATCTCTTCAAATCCTCTGCTAGCTGGACATCTTCCCCTCTTCCTCCTCCTCTTTCCCCTTCTCCTCCTCCTCTTCTTCCTTGTGTGTACACCACTACTGGAATTTGAACTCAGGGTCTAGCACTTGCACTTGCTTTTTCATTCAAGGTTGGTGATCTACCCTTGAAGACACAACTCTACTTGTAGCTCTTGGCTGGTTAGTTGGAGGTAAGAGTCTTTTCTGCCAGGGATGGTTTCGAACCACTGTTCTCAGAGTAGCTAGGATGGCTTACAGGCCTGAGCCCCCAGTGCTCAGCCCTTTCTTCTTTCTTTACCCAGATCTTTTTCTCAGTTTCAAACTAATGGTGCTGTCTTCAAAATACTCAAATTGTGTATTGTTATTTTACCTGTATCCCCAGAACCATTTTTTTAAAATCAGTTGTGGGGCTTGAACTCAGGGCCTGAGCCCTGTCCCTGAGCCTCTTTGTGATCAAGACTAGTGCTCAGCCTGGCACTGGTGGCTCACGCCTGTGATCCTAGCTACTTAGGAGGCTGAGATCTGAAGGTTGTAGTTCGAAGCCAGCATGGGCAGGAAACTCTATGACACTCTTATCTCCAATAATTACTCAAAAAGAAAAAAGGCAGAAGTGGCATTGTGGCTCAAGTGGTAGACGCTTGCCTTGAGCAGGCGTGAGCGACAGCACCCAGGTAACTTCAATCTTCAGAGCTCCGCCTTCTGAGTAGTTGGTATTACAGGCATGAGCTACTTGCACCGGGCTACTTTATGAGACTTTTAGCCCCAATTTCCCACCAAAAAGGCAAAAGTGTAGTTTTTGCCTTGAGCAGTGGAAAATCACCAGCCTTGAGCAAAAAAAAAGCGAAGGGACAGCATCCAGGACCTGACTTCAAGCCCCAGGGCTGGCAGAAAAGGAAAAAGAGAGAAAAAAAAAGTTTACAGCACCTTATGTAAGTATCTCCATTTGTGAAACACAGTTTGAAGGCAACTGTTAAGGGATTTGTACATACCAGATGTCCTAAGTGATCAGTGGTTGCTTCAGGAATACAACTGAGTCTTGGAAGTTAGGGTGTCCAGTACAAATAACAGTTTGGGAGCACCTTTTTGCCATCTATGATGATTAGGATAGCCTTTTCCTTCTGTAAAGGCTGGCATCTGAGCTGCAGTAAAAAAAAAATGTATTCTGTTAAATTGTGAGTGTGTGTGTGTACACAATCACACCCTTCCTGGCTCTCTGTATCCACCTCTCACTACACCAGTCTAGCTATCTCCTTTCCTCCATCCTTCCCAGCCCTGTCCTTCCCTAGAGTTCTTTCTCTCTCCTTGGTAACACCAAGACACCGCCACTTCCCATCCTGCTTCTCCTCTGGCTTCTCCTCAGCTCCCCCCCCCCAACCCCCTCTTCTGCCCACCTCCTCCCTCTTATCACTCCCCCAAAGCCTGGTCCCTGGATGCCTGTCCCCTCCTTCCCTCCCAACCGGCCTCCTGTGTCTCCCAGCCCTGCTCTGACGTGGGAGGTGGGGGGGGGTGGGGGGGGAACGGATGACTCACAGTGTTATGATGCAGTTCCACAACACACGGCCACATTCACCCACAGACCGAGGTACAGAACCAGGGGCACCCTCTGGCCCCTCCAGCAGCTGCCCAGCCTCGCAGCCCCAATCTCGAACCCCTAACGACCCTCCCCTTCCAACGCCCTCCAACCCCTTTCCCCCTTGAAGGAGCTGAAAAGAGAAGAGAGAAGAGTGAGCAGAGAGATTGGGAGATTGAGACAGAGAGAGACAGAGAGAGAGAGATAGACGGAGATCTCTGGATCAGACTTCAAGGTGAGGGGGGCAGCCCTTCTCCCAATCAATTTTTTTTCCTTCCTTTTGCAAATTTCCTCTTCCTGCTGTGTGTTGTTTTCTCTTCTTCGCAAAAAAAGCATTATTCATCCACCCTTTGTCCTCCCTTCCCCCTCCCCGCTGCCTCTGCTCTGCTGCTTTCCTCTCTCTCTCTCTCTCTCTCTCTCTCTCTCTCAGCTCCGCCATCCTTCACCAAGCTCCCATAATGATTCCCGCACTTCTTTCCTGGCATCATTGGCTACAGCATCAGGCATCAGTGTTTATTGTTTTGCTGCTGGTACAGACCCCCAAAGCCCGCCCTGGGAGCTAGCTGCCGCTGCTAATTATCTGGACCATACCATACTGAAAATACCAGCCCCGGAGGGGTGAAACCTTAGAGTAGAAGAGAACATGTATTGTGAGCGCAGGTGTCCCCCGACCCCTCCCCCCCCCCCCGCCTGCTTTTCCCCACCGGAAATGCATTGGGGCTTCATACCTGGTTCCTTTAGCCTCTACCTCCCAGCCTCTGCTGTCAGTTGTCAGTCCATTCTGTCAGTCTTTCCTACCCCCCCCTCCCCAGTACAGACAGCCTCAGCTCACACTGGGGCTCACTTTTACCCCCCCCCAATCATTTGCCCATTTGCTTTTCCCTTGTGATCAGAGATGAGAAAAGAAATGAGCCCTACTCTCCCTTCTGTGATTTTCCTAGCCTTTTTCTTTCTTTGCAGCCTTTCCTGAGCTAGACTAGGAACCAGGGGAGAAGGAGGGAGGCGTGACAGATGGAAGCTGGGGAAGGAGCAAGCGAGAGAGAGGGGGGGGGGGCTTAACTGGTCCTCACCTCCCAGCCCTCCAAAGCAGGACTTTTTTCAAGGAGGTATGTGGTAGATGCTCACCTGTCATCTCCTCTCGAGGAGGACCCATTTCTTGCAGCCAGAACCCCAATGTCACCCTGAATTCAGCCCAAGGTGTCTCTTCTTGGGACCCAGCCAGGGGGAGAGGACCTGGAACTGAAGATGCTTGTTGTCGTTGCTGTCTTGTGTTTTGTTTTTTGTGGAGAGACTGCCTGGGGACCCAGGAAAAGAATGGAGCAGCCAGGGCGCTTGTACTCACGGGGTACAGGGGGAGCCTGTTTGCCCTGGCAACCAAAGCTTCCTTCTCTGTCCCCCCTCCCGGGGGGGGGTCTAACATGGCCAGAAGACCCGGATGACATCTTTGGAGGAGACTTGGGTGACCCCACCCCCAAGGGCAGGAGGCCCCATGAAAGAGCCAGCAGTGCCTCACCTGCTTATCAGAGCCCCCAGAGCACCCCTCCCTGCATATCCTCTGCGTCCAGGACCTCAGCCACTTTGGATTGGACAGCACAGGGGCCAACGTCTTCCTCGAGATTGCTAATCAGAACCTAGCAGTCATTTTCTCTTCAGACAGCTGTTTTGACCTAGCTCCTGGGAGAGAGAAACATTCCCCCCCTACCTTATGCCCTAAAGCACAGCCTTTGAAAATAAGGAGCTTGCTTCCCACCCACCCCCACCGCCCCTTTTCCGTTGTTTACTGTGGATTTGCTCGTTTCTGTTGCTTACTGTGGATATATTATACACACAGCTCCACACAGCTCTGGAGTCTGCCTGCTCTGATGTGCTGTTCATTTCCCATTGGTCCAGTTGGCAGATTTGACCAAGGAAAAGATATTTTCTCTCTTAGGGTTGGGTGCCTGTCATTAATGGGGCAAGTAAATAGTCCCAAGAGAGAAAGAAAAAGGAGAGAGAGAAGAGGAGAGAGACAGAAGACAGAACAAATGGTCCAGAAGGCTGAGAAGTCAGCAGGCTCCCCCATGTCAGCCATGAACAGTAGCCCAGGATGCAGGCTAGAGGAGCAGCCACAAAAGAGGGCTTTGGAACTGAAGGAGACCTCTCTAAAGTTCTCGTGTATCCCAGGACCCAGCCCAAGGTGCAGGCTAAAGCAGAGTGTGCATACCTACAGCACGGGCCCTGTCCTCACCACCCATGAAGTTTCTTCAGGATCAAATTGAATTGTAAATGGATGTCATAAAAAAGAAAAGAAGAAGAAAGCATCTCACAGGGGCAGCTCTGACTTGGAAAAGGCCCTGAGGCACAGGGGCCTACCTGGGCTTTGGGGTGCAGATCCTCATAGAAGAGCGAACACAGGAGAGCCCTAGAAGGTGGCACTGGAGCTCTCATAGTAGCAATGGTGCCAGCGGGCTGTTCTCAGTGGAAAATGGTGGAGGCTACTACCTCCCAGGAGAGAGAGAGAGAGAGAGAGAGAGAGAGAGAGAGGCAGAATGAGACTCCAGAGCCATGGAGATGGGGACAGGAGGTAGCCATGGGGGAGGCAGAGACAGAGGTGATCTGAGCTCCTTCACCCCCCCCAGTTACCTCATGAGGTCACAACTCCTTGATGCCCTTTCCCTGTCTTCCTAGATCACTTCCATTTCTATCTGGTTCTCGTCTGGGGGGGCCCTGGCCGGGCAGCCCCCCCACATTTCTCCTGCCCTGAAACACGGCTCTAGCCAACCTGCTCCGCTGCTTCACCTGCGACCGGCTCTGTGGGGGCTGCACAGCACCAGCCCCTCCAGCCCGCCAGGGCATCGTGCTTCAACCCGTCATGCCCAGCTGCGACCCCGGCCCAGCCCCCGCCTGTCTACCCACCAAGACATTCCGAAGCTACCTGCCCCGCTGCCACCGCACGTACAGCTGTGTCCACTGCCGCGCACATCTGGCCAAACACGATGAGCTTATTTCCAAGGTATGCTGAAGCTGGGGAACCTTCCACTCCCGGCCTTTCTCTGAGCAGGCTGGGGGTGAGGCAGGAATGCACCTCTTTTCCCTACCCCACCCCCAACACACCTCAGCTGGGGGCTCGCTCAGGCAGTGGGTGGAGGGCCGCCCAGTGGTCATTGTCTGTCCTATGTCTCCACAGTCCTTCCAAGGGAGCCATGGCCGAGCCTACCTGTTTAACTCCGTGTGAGTCTACCTCTTTCTTCGTGTGTATGGGTGGTATGTGTGTGTGCTTGTGCGTGTGACCACGTTTCCTCTGTGGGGAAAGGGGGTGGGAGTTCAAGTCGTCTCAGGCCTTGTCTCCTCTTTTGCAGAGGGGTTCAGAAACATCAGCCTGCAGTTCTGTGGGTTGTTTGGACAGTACTGAAATCAAAACACTAAAAAAAAAAAAAAAAAGACCCAGGCACTAGTTATAAAACGGTGGACTGCCGGAGGAAGCAGCTGCTAGTGCTCTTCTTTTTTTTTCTTCTTGTGCCAGTACTGGGGCTCAAACTTACAACTCACCTTTAACTCAGTTGTGTGTGTGTGTGTGTGTGTGCGTGCTGTCCCTGAGCTTTTGTGCTCAAAGCTAATGCTCTACCACTATGGGCCACATCATCATTTCTGGCTTTTTTTTTTTGGTTAGCTAATTGGAGATAAGAGTCTCAAGGAACTGTAATCCTCAGATCTCAGCCTCTTGAGCAGTGAGGCTTACTGGTATGAGCCACCAATGCCTGACTAGCTTGTTTTTTTTTTTTTTTCTCAATTGCTGGCACCTTACCACTTGAGTCACACCTCCACTTCCAGCTTTTTCACTAATTAATTGGAGATAAGAGTCTTTTGAATTTGTCTGCCTGGTTTGGCTTCAAACCACAATCCTCAGATTTCAGGTTTCCAAGTTGTAAGGATTACAGGCATGAGCCACCAGGCCTGGCTCTACCTCTCTCTAGATGAGTCCTTTGGGTCTGTCTGGGGACTAGACTGACCAGAGCAACCCTACTGGGTGCTGCGTCCTTCCTGTTTCCTGAGACAGGGTCAACGTGGGCTGTGGGCCAGCGGAACAGCGCCTCCTGCTCACGGGGCTCCACTCGGTAGCTGACATTTTCTGCGAAAGCTGCAAGACCACGCTGGGTTGGAAATATGTAAGTACTTCCTTGGGTGGAAGGAAAACGGGCCATCTTTGAAAAGTGGCCAGCCCAGGCCCCAGTGAGCATGTCAGGTCTTTGTCAGGTCTTCCCAAGGTCCAGAGGGAACTCGGAACTGGGCTGGCCTATGTGGGCGGCGGTTGTGGGAGCTGCAGGGACCCGCTTTGGCCTATGCCCATTGCTTCCCTCTCCACCAGGAACAAGCTTTTGAGACAAGCCAGAAATACAAAGAAGGGAAATACATCATTGAGATGTCACACATGGTGAAGGACAACGGCTGGGACTGAGGGGCTCAGGCAGGCCATGCCCTTCCTCCGCATGCCCCACCCTCCTCACACACCTGCCCCACGGCCCTGCCATGCAGTCCATACCAGCATGAGTACTGCCCCACCCCTGGGGGAAAAACCCGGCTCCAACCAACGCCTTCCCTGCCTCTACCACATTACTCCCAGGACCCCCTTGGCACAGGGGTCTGGTAGAACCCCAGGGGTGTTCAAGGCATAGGAGGAAGTGGGCAGCGGTCAGAGAAACCCAGAACTGGGGAGAGGAAATGGTGGTGGTCCCTTGTTCCTAAGGCCTGATAGAAGTGATGGCAGGGAGTGAATTCAAGCAGAAAGGACCTTAGGAAGGGGAAAAAAAAAAAAGAACAAGATGAATATTGGGTGCTGAGGCTAGAAGATCCTAAGCCATTGATTAGCAGAGAGAGAAAAGAGATCTTAGGCTCTGAAGTAAAATTTTGGCCTCAGACACCAAGAGACCAACTAGACTAGACCAGGAAGGAGACCCAAAATCTGAGGGAGAGGACGGTCAGTTTCCCAGCCCCCCCTCCCCCACCTTTGATTTTGGAGAAAGGACTCAGGTGTGTGGGGGAGGGGGAGGGGTGGAAGTAAAGACCCAAATCCCAGGCCCTGGAAAGTAAAAATTACAGGGGTTTCATGTCACTCTACTTATTAGTTTACCTTGGCACTAAAGAAGCACTTTGGAGTATGTAACCTTTGCCATTGGGTGGGGTGGGGAAGGCCACTCTGGAACAGCCCCACCCCTTTGCTGGCTGTTGCCAGAAAGCAGTCTTCTTGGGGTTTTCTCCAAGGCCCAAGCACTGCTCCCTGGGACCCAGTCCCCTGGGTGGGGAGGTGGATCTTCAGTGGTACCGGGGCCTTTCCCGTGGTTGCCACCAGCGAATGAAACTTTTGTATGATACATAAAGTGTTTGGCTCTATTTTTAATAAAAAGGGGGAAAGCACCCGTGAGGAGCTGTTCTGACTTTCCTTGTTGTATGCACCCAATACTGTCCCCCCTGTTTGCCAGCAACCACGAGGGCCTATCTCTTCTATACCACTAGGGGGCAGCAGTCACTCCACAGGTGGCTTCACCACTTCAGGTCTCACTAAGACTGGTTATGTTTGGCTTTGTCTAAAGGATGGGATTTTTAAGTTTTCAAGCTAAAGCACTCAAAATCGCCCGTGGCTTTGAGAATTCTTGTGAACAAGTCTTACTTTTGCCTGAATCCAGGATTGGGCAGCTCAAAATGACTCATCTCAAAATAAGGGCTTCCTTCAAGTCCCGTTGAGCCCCCTTTTATCTCCTTGGGTTCCATGATGTTCTGGTTGGCTCAGAGATACACTTAAAGGCTAAAAGGAGAATCTTTTGGTCAAGGCGGGTGGAAGTGGAAAACAGCTGAAGGTGGCATTGTTCATGTTAGCCCTGTGACACAATGGGCATTTTGGAGGCAGTGCTGTGAAATTCCTGTTTGAGAGGCACCTACCATTGATGAAGGGGACTGGACACATCAGAGATCTTTTGGCCAGGTGCTGGTAGCTCACACCTGTAATCCTAGCTGAGATCAGAGGATGAGGGCTCAACGATGCCCTGCCTGGGCAAGGAAAGTGCATGAGACTCTTGTTGCCAATTAACCACCAAAAAAGCCAGAAATGGAAGCAGGGCTTAAGTGGTTGATCACCAGTCGAGCAAAAAAGCAAATAAGAGGGCCCGGGCAGGGGCTGGAAATGTGACTTAATAGGTAGTGCGTGAAGCCCTGAGCTCGATTCCTCAGGACCACATCAACAGAAAAAGCCGGAAGTAGCACCGTGGCTCAAGTGGTAGAGTCTTGAGCACAGAGAGGCTCAGGGACGGAGCCCAGGCCCTGAGTTCAAGCCCCAGAGCTGGCAGAAAAAAAAAAAAGAGGGCTAGACCCTGCACTGAAGCCCTAGTAGCCCTCTCTTACCCTCAAAAAGTTAAACTGGAAAGAGCTTACATTTCAGCCCAAGTAGACAGGGAAAACTCTTGTATCATCAAGTCTGTTCAAGAGACTGGAGTTGTAAAGGGCCCTTAAATGGTGTTGTCTGCATCAGACTATCTAGACAAGACAGAGACCTGGATATCACGCAGGTGAGGGAAGGAAACGGGGAGAAGAGCAAGTCTGGATGACACATCACTCTTCTGAGGACTGAGGCGGGTGGGGGGGGATGCTGATCTATCCCCTAGTTTCAGCCCTACAAAAACCTAGCCACTTCTTGAAAGTTCCCAAATATACCTCTCCATCTACTGAGGGTTCTCCAGTTCTAAGAGGGTTACTTGGACTCTATAGGAGACACCTTGTTAAAGTCATTTTCTTTTCTGATTTCTGTGTGCCAGCACTAGGGCTTGAACCCGTTTCCTGCTCTCACTTGGGTTTTTCACTCAAGGCTGGCTGGTGCTTTACCACTTGAGCCACACCTCCACCTTTGACTTTTGGAGATAAAAGTCTCACGGACTTTTTTGCCTGACCTGGTTCTGAACTGCAATCCTCAGATCTTAACCTCCTGTGCAGCTCGGATTAGAGATGTGATCCATCAGCACCTGGCGATCCAACTCTTAGGGGTCCAGATAGGTCTGCTCTTAAGAAAGCTCAAATTCCTTGTGGCCAAGAGGAGTTGTGCTGAGGGTTGCAAGTAAAGGCAGGAGAGGAGACCTCCTTCCGTGTTCCAAAAGCCAGGGAGGAGTTGCGGGTATGGGGTGGCGTACCACAGGTCTTTCCCCCCTGGGGAAGCGCTTTTTTCTTTTTTGAGCAACGCTTTTCACTTCCTGAGGACCCCCCTTCTATCACAGAAATCCTTCTCTGAGGACTCATGACTCCCCCACCACATACCTCTCCACCCACTTTCTAGAGTAAACTGTGCCCAGGAGCCCAGTCCTCTGCCACAACGTGCCACTATCATTTATCCTTAGACTCAAGACTTTGATACCTTTATATGACCAGCAGATGGCACCAGAACTTCCACCCCCTTCCTTCCCTCTCTTTTCTAGATCTTCCCCTAAGAGGATCTTAACTCCGATCTCTCTAGACAGGCCTCCAAAAAGAGGGTGCATAACAGGGTTACGCTTAACGTAACAGTTAAAAAAAAAACCTCAGCCAATCTGCTTAAACCTTCTGTCCCTCAGTCTTCTCATCTGTCAAATGGGAATGCCACCTGCCAAAGAAAAGAGGGTTCACATCCTATGCAAAGCCTAGCACAGGCCCTGTACACACAAGTGGCTGTATACAGGGGAGCTATTTTGCTAGCACAACCAAGACTTCCCCAAGTCCCCACCAAGGCAGCTGACTGGTGCCCAGCTAGGAGGAGAAATGGCAACGCTGAGGAGGCAGCTGGCGCTGGGTAGCACTACCTGGCCAATGCCCTTTTAACATTGCACTGCTCGTGACAGGTGTAGACAGTAGCACAATGTGAAAAGAGCTCTGGCCAGCAGCAGAGGCATGCCGGCCCCGCCTCCTCACCCCTTCTCCCAGCTCACAGCGCACCTTTGCACCTTCTTCAGTACAACCTTCCTCTCTCCTCTTCCATTCTAGTGTTCATCCATCCTTCTTCCCAGGAAATTCACATTTCTTTGAAGGGATACTGGGAAGTCACTAGTAAAAATCTCAAGAGTCTGAGGGCTACCCTCATGAGCTCTTTTTTTCCCCTCTAGATTTGCATGTCTATCACCAGCCTTTCTAGAAGAGAGCTTTCCACCGAGACCCTAACTTTCTGTTTTCTTTTTTTAAATGCTGGTCTTAGGGCTTGAACTCAGGGCCCTACCACTGACCTTGAGCTTCTTTTTGCTCAAAGCTAATGCCCGACCACTTGAGCCACAGCTCTACTTCTAGCTTTTCGGTGGTTAACTGGAGATTAATCTCATGAACTTTCCTGCCTGGGCTGGCTTTGAACTTCAATCTTCAGATCTTACCCTCCTGAGTAGTTTGATAGGCATGAACCACTGGTACCTGGCTACCTTGTAACTTTCAATAATGTTTCAAGGTGATAATCTTAAGAGGAGATGCACCTCTAAGATCAGAGAATGAGGAAGTATAGTTACAGGTCCCTAGGCAGAAGAGAGAAGCTTCTAGATAGCAGGGGTGAAAGCAACTTAAGCCATACTTGACCTCTCCTGAGGTTTTCAAAGCAACTTACAGATTTGGCATTAAGCAAAATGGTAAGAATAATTTCTTCTCTTGTACTGTAATGCAGATAATCTTCCATTGGGAGTGGGATTACAAACTGAGGTTTCTATCCAGTTTGCTGACTCAACAACTGAACTAAGACTGAACAGTTTTCCCCCAGTCTACCCCAGTACAGGACATTAATCCCAGGACAATAGCAACTGACTGAAATCTGAAGCCAGATGCCAATCCTGGAAGGACACTTGGTCGTTTAAAAGCTCAGAGCCATGCACAGCTCTAGCGTGGCACATTCCAACATTCCAGCTAGAGCCACCATTCCCAGAAAGTCAGGTACAGGTCTGACCTGGTGACCCCATATGTAGCCCAAGAAGGGGCCAAAGGATGATCCCTCTGTGCCCTGATCCATGCAATCTTCCCAGGCCACGGAAGAGCCGCTGGGGGACTTCCGCCTCTCCCCTCCACAGCCAGCCTGAGAAATGGCGGACAGAATTCCACTGGGGAGCTCTGGGCTTTTCCCTCTGGCCTTCTCCCCGCACACTCAGGAAGGAGTCGGAAGTTCTCTCTCGCCTTCCCAGGCCGAGTTTTTCCTGTAAATCTGAAAAGCTTGGGCCTCGCTGCACAGAGTGCACAGTGGTAATGGACGGAAACCAAGGCCTGGCTAAGGTCAGCAGCCTGGCCTTTCTGCTCCTGGGGTTGGGCAAGCCTGCTTGGAAATGCAGCCGGCCAACAGGAGGCAGAGAGGCCAAGACCGGGCGACCCAGAAAGCTCGGGACAATTATTCCCCAGATCTCTCCTCACCGGGAGTGAAGGAGTGAAGGGGAGAAGAAACAGGGACCCTCGGAGTCTCTCCATCCCTCCCCAACCCCACAACTCATTCCTCAGGAGTGGCCCCCCCCCACCTCGGGCCCAGGAGCCATCACCCCTTCCCCTCCCCTCCCCACCAGCTCCTTCCAGAAAGCTGGTGTAGAGACAGGGGAGGAAATGGGGGAGGGGAGGCCCTGGCTCAAGTTCTCCCCTCTCCCCCCTCCTCATTGGCCACCATCTTCCGGCCCCTGCCCCCTTGCCCCCCCCCCCTCCAGAGCAGCAGGGGATGGGGCCCAGCCTGTGGAAGGGAGAGAAAGGGCAGGTGGGGGGGGGGTGAGCTGGAGCAGCAGGGACAGGAGGGAGGGCTGGCTCCAACCGTCTCCTCCCCCTCCCCCCTCCCCGCAGCCATGGCGACCGGGAGGT